AAAACACAAAATAAGAACAAAAAATAGATGTGATGAAGACCAAGTTTCACAATCCAATCAATATGATGCCTTTAATCATTTTGGCGTGATTAAGTAGCGATTTTTCTCTGCAGATGATGAGGTTGTAGGATGTGATATATCTGAAATACACAATTGAGTTTAGAGTTACAGTGTGTCCATGTGTTTATGTAAAAACAATTATGTTTATGAAGGCCAAAAGCAAAAATGGACAGTATGTGAGCCCTTCACAATCTTAAAAGAAAAAAGTGATATAAAGTCATGGGATAGTTTTAATATTTTTTGTGACTGGGTGTGTTTATACATAAACCCAAGTAATAATTAAAAAAAACTAACAATATGAATTATAAATTCATTGTCTCTTTTACTTACATTGTGGAGAAGAGGAGAGAAGTTTCCACAGCTTAGCAGAGCTGCACACACTTATATGTGACAAAAACTAAAAAAAAGAGACAAGAACATGTTTGTTTGGAAACCAGTTACATTTTTAAAGTTAAATTTGTATTTCAATTTTAAGAATGAAATCATTTACCTGTTGAGAGCGTGTTGACAGTCTGTGTAGTTGGATCACTGAACTCCAGAAAATCAGTAATGAGGTGCTTTAGCAGTTACAGATTTGAAAAACAAAAGGGCGGGAATAAAGAACCCTAAACTCTAACACAAAGAACCATTTCAGCATGAAAGGGTTCTTAAGAATGCCGTGGTTCTAAATAAAACCGTAACTGCATGTAAAGAACCTTTAAAGAACCATCTTTTTTTAGAGTGTACTGTTGCATCCCTAAATGTCTACCTACTGTTACAATTTAAATAAAAAATGTGTATCAGGGATGGAGTACTATAATGTAAATGTATATTTTCATATAGCTGTCTTTATATCTGTTTTTTTTTTTTTTATTTGGCTATCTGTTTGTTTCCAACAGGGTTTTAGAGTCATTATTACCCAATAGATGCTTTCTTAATTGTTTACTTTGTCAGTTTGATGGTAAACGGTGCATGATGTTTGTGTCCTCTTCACTGGCACAGGCCTGAGCAGACATCAGTGTAGGATGCTTCCCATCGCCCTGAGGCTCCGAGGCTTCCTGCCAGTGTGCTCTCCTTTTAGTCTGTGTTGCGTCAAAGCACATCTTTTACAGCAAGATCTACACCCCACGGCGTAGCCGAGGGATTAACTTACTCATCAATGAACAGCTGGAGAGACTTTAAATGGCCATTAAGAAGAAGGCAAGGTGTGTTGGTGAGGGGGCGAATGAATTAGTCACCTACTTCCTCTTTGGTCGATTTTTCAATCAGCAACAGAAGGGAATAAACTGATCATTCTATGTGTGTTTGTGTGACAAAGAAAACTAATGGGAACTTTGATGCTAAAATCTTCAAATGTGGGGTTTTACTTCACTTTGTTATTCATGGATGATTACTGCAATGTTCATGACAAAATGTGGGCTTTTAATGGCATTAGGCATATGTGTCTGTTTTCAGCTGAGCTTTCATTCTGCATCATGTGAATCAAAGCTTTTATCTCATTATGCAACAAAATGAATCATTTGTTTATTCTGTTCTGTTAAAATCCCTTAAATCAAATCAGCAAACATCATTAGTATCAGCATTATCCAATATAATTATATTAGCAAACCATCTTTATAATTTATTTATTTATTGCTGAACAGAACTAAGAGCATCTACACCAAAGAATATAAAATAATGTAGAAGGTCCTAATGATTAGATTAATGTGACCATCACATGCGTAATTTATTTAAAGGTTCTCTAGTGCAAAAAAAAAAAATGTTCTCAATATTTTCGGGTTACTTCTTTATCAGGTAATGTATTATTGCTGAAATCCAAAGCAGCATATTTGATCACAATCCATTTACAATTGGCAAATGCGTAATTCATTCTTGGCCTAGACGGGAATGAAATATTCAGTCTTGCGTCATGCAACCACCAGTAGAGGACAGCATTGCTAAATAATGAGACTTAAATCACTAGCTGCAGCACCACTAAAATTGTCAAGGAAATTATAGGGAATTATAGTGAATTTTAGCTATGTCTAAACATATTAGTAAACATTAGTTTGGCTTGACATATTACAAATGCCACTGAATATACTCTTTTTCTAATATACTATATTATTATTCTAAAATTACCTAAAAAAAAAATTATTTTCTATAGCTATACAGCATTGTTATCCTTGCTTTTACATTAACATATTAGTTTGGTTTGACATATTACAATTGCTACAACTCCTCATGTTGTCATAAAATAAAATGTGTAATCTGCCTATGTGACATTTTTGTGTATTATTATTATTAAATAGTTTTTTAAAGATTTTATATAGAAGGCATTAGAGCAACTTCTAATTCAATTATTGCATTATTATTTATTATTATTATTATTATTATTAGATGTACTTGAGAACATTTTTTATTGAATAATTTAATATTTAACTATTATTATTTGATTTTTATGTAAATAATCATTTATTATTGTTATTGCTATTTTAATTTACAAACAACATATTTGTGTATTATTATTATTATTATATATTTAAAATAAATTATGGTCCAGAAATCTCTGATATTTCCCTTTTTTTTCCCCCTATAGCTATATAGCATTTTAGTCTTTACAGAAAAAAACATATAATGGTCGTCCAGTCTTACCTTTCAACCACTGAATAAATGTAAGGCAACTGTAAAGACATTCATAGTTCACATTCGGTACTTTTCCCCCTCCTTTCTACCAGGATCAGACCATTTTCAGATTCTGTGGTGCCAGTGTGCGCAGTGTGTTTTTCATCACTGCAAATCAAAATCAGACATTTTTTTTAGCAAGTTCTCGCATTCACGTTTGCAGCTCATAAATATTTTGATCTTCGATGAGTGACTGATATTCATGAATAAGTGTTAGATGAATAATGGAAAACAGCAATAAGTGAGTTTCTGTAGATCCAAACCATATGAGAAAGTCCTTGAGCAAGTGCTTCCTTCGGCCACCCACCTCAAGGCCAGCATTTGCTGGGAATTACTGTACATCAACAGAACACCCCCCTTTTTTATAAACACAGATATAGACGGTTCATGTGATACTTTTATTTTCTTCTCCCCCTCGGAGATCAAAGACCCTCCATTGAGGATCAAGCCATATGGGAAGAACCTGCAAAATATTAGCTGGCATGCAATATCATACCACAGTGATGGAAGGAAGGCAGGGTGTGCCAGCGAAGAAAGCATGCCAGCGCACGACTATGGGAGTTTACATCAGAACCGAAATCGTCAATATGAACCATGTGTTCCACTTTCAAGGAGCTCCTTGTCTTGAACACAACATCTTAATGAGCTTCATGCTCGACGGACGGTGGTTTTCCACATGGCTGAACGGCCCACAGACACACTAAGTCTCATCTGTTTAGCGGTCATGCCATTGACTTCCAGGCCACGTTTTAATGGAAGTCACGTGCTGATAGGTGATAGTCTGCGGATACTGCTGCCAGGCCCCACCGGTGGCCACAGCATTGTTTATCTCTGTTTATCTGGCCACAGGTGTGTCTCATCAGTTATTTAAACTGTATAACAGCTAAAATATTCTGTTGAATTAAGCTTAATTTTGCCCTCTGGTTGGAAATATTCCTGCACACAGACTTCTGCAAAACAAAACTGACAATTTACCGCATTTTCATTCAAATTAAACCACACAAGATGCTGAATAAAGCCAGAGCATCAGCAGACACAATAAACATAATTATGAGTATTAAGAACCTCAAAATTGTATATATATGTAATCTTTTTCAAATATATTTATTGTCATATTTATAAAACATAACTGAATGTAAGTTGATCATTGAAAATTTTCAGTTGCCTTTTTTTATTCTGCAGGTGATTTTTTTGGGTAGAAATATAAAAAAATAGTACATCCATTAAAATGTGACAACATAGATTACGTTTTGAGACATTTTGCACATTATATATATATTTTTTTGATTTATTAGTTCTGTTATAAATACTACAAGTAAGGCAACAGATAAATCTCAGTAACTATGAGGTTTTGGTTCTAACTGCAATTACACAAATTGAGTGTTTTCTCTAGCAGTGGTTTTGTATGTTGGTCAGACAAGATTCAACTTTATAATTAAGGTAGACTTTGACTTGAAAGGTGGATATTTTTTTTTTAATTCAAGGGTAACGATATATTGGGGTAGGCTGTCACAATGGTGATATACATACTGTTTTTATGTATTTATTTTTATTTTTTGCAAGCCAAGACTAGGATTTGTTGAAAAGTAAACCTACCCTGAGAAATATTCATAGACTTTCTTGCATATACATTTGCCATATCATGGTCACTTTCTTGGTTAACGGAGTTCAGAAGGACCGAGATGAAGTGTGGGAGTTTTTCAGCCTCATATCCGAGAACTGACTCAAGTACACAACTGCATCAGCAACGTAACTGGCTGGAATTATCGCCCATCCCAGAAGCATAATTTACTCGGGCAAAATATTTATACAGAGGCGGACCGAAATCACTTACAACAAGTCCATTCACGAAACCGAGTGGAAGCAACCCACATTAAAGACTCTGTAGACTTCTTATCAGTCGCAGTACTTTTAAGGAACGCCGCTGGTTCAAACATCTGTAAAGAAGTATTCAGCAGCATCATGAACTTTTTGGCTGTATTACATTGTGTGATACTTATTTCAGTTTGTGAAATACTTGGAGATCATCGAACGAACGGTAAGTGAATGACTTTACAATATTTCGCTTTACCCTTACGAAAATTAGCCATGGTTTTACTACAAAAAATCAAATCAGATAAAAATAAAACCCGGTTAGCCTACTATTGTTAAACAATGGTAACCACAAATCAACCTTAGTTTTGCTACATGGTATTTGTAGTAAAACTGTGGTTGTAATCAATACGCCGCGAAAAAAAAAAACACATGGTTACTACACTTTTACAATAATAAAACCATGCTTAATTTTCGTAAGGGATAGCTTGCTTTATTAGTTGCTTTAGAAGTTTAGAAACTTTAATCTAGCAATGCACTAATCAAGATATTATCGTATGTGAAATAAACACACGTTTAAATGTGTTTTAAACAAAACACTAAAGTGAATTTATTATAATGACAATGTACCGTTCAATACTGACAGTTATCATAGTCTTTGCAGCTATCGAGCAGCTGTTGCTATGGTTACCTCCTCACGCAAAGGCGATTTCTGTTCACGAGCGTAAACTTTTAATCGAACATTTGTGGTTATTGAAATGTTTAAATACGCTGTTGAATATATATATATATATATATATATATATATATATATATATATATATATATATACACACACACACTTTTATGTAAGAAGAATTCATACTTCATACCTTTTCTCGGTACAGTTATGTTAATAGTGCAAATGAACGGAAAGTGAATGCATTTTATTGCTTTGACATTTATTGCATGCTCTGTTAAAGAATACATTAGCCAGTTATGTATTCGGAAACAGACGGTAAACCTTTGAGCTATAAAACAGAAATAAGGCATCTTTATGGCTGCTGCTCTGAGCCTGCTCACATTTCAGTGTAAAGACGTAATGCAGCATAAAAGCCAGACTAAATTAAGCCTGCTCTGACCCACCTCAGCCCCTAGTATCAAAGTATACAGCTGTATTTGTATTCTGTGTAAATGCATTTATGCCACCTCTGAGCAGCATTAAGCAATCTATGTAAAGACAGCTAAATGCCTCTTCAGGAGCGTTTCTGTGCCACCTTTGCAATATATAAAAGGTTTACTTATTCTGAACAAGGATTTAAAATATTTTCACAAAGTGTCAGAGAAAGAAAATAATCTTTCTCTGACACTCTAATCCTGTGAAAAAAAATCATTTTTTTTCTTGTAACATGAGATATTTCTCATATGACCAATTTCATTGGGTAATATGACATATCTGAGATCATCTTTGTTTTAGTCATCAAACACTTTCCAGTCTCATATGTGCAACTGAGAAGGAATGGAGAAAAGACATCACAAGCTGATGTCAGGGTTGCATTGTCTCTGAGATGGATTATGTATGTTTTAATTCTGTATTTGTTTGTCTAGCTGGCATGTGCTGGCTGCAGCAGGGTCCGGAGCACCGCTGTGACATGGTGCTCATGAGGGGCGTGAGCAGGGAAGAGTGCTGTGCGGCCAGCCGTCTGGACACTGCCTGGTCCAACACCAGTCTGCCAATCAATGAAGTCAGTCTGCTGGGATTCCTGGGAATAGTTTCCTGTAAGCCGTGCAAAGGTACAGACTCATATTTACCCTCTGTTCTAAGATCTCAGTAGGCTGACTTGGGTCGTCCCGCTGCGTAATGTTCCAACATGTTGATATCAGTGAGAGACTCTGTGCTGAAGTCCTCTTGAACTGGTTATTACACTGTCAGAAAAAAGGTACAAAAGCTGTCATTGGGGCAGTTTTTCAAAAGGTATACTTTCAAAAGGCACCAATATGCACCCTTTTGGTACAAAGACGTACTTTCTGAAAAGGCACCAACCCAGTGACAATTTTTGTTCCTTTTTTTGGAGCGTGTACCATTTTAAGCCTTCAACACACATTATAGAATCCCTCGATTCCAAATTAAGGATGAACCCATTTTGGTTGGGGAGATAAAATCTAGTACTGTAGGCCAAATCTTGGTTTGGAGAGTTTTCTTTGCAAATGCAATTCTTCAGTTTTCTTTCAACGTGGATTTACACCAGAAGTTTTGTTTAACTTTCCCCCGATAGCCTTGGCCAGGTACGTGGGTTCATATAAGGGCTCCAAACCGCTACTATCATCAGACATTTTAAACACAGAGTTTTATCACTGGAGTAAACAAGTTAGCTCACGTGATAATTAGAAAGTATTTCCTCAGCCCAGTAAGCCCATAATTGTGCTCAAAATTGTAGTTTTGTGGCTTTTAGTGCATATCTATTAGTTTTGAGGTCATTTGTATGATAGTGTACTCTTAAAATTCACTTTTAGTAGATAGATGCATTTAAAATTTGTAGTCATCCTCCTACAGGGAAACCAATAATTTGATGACTCATCCTGCACTCACTCATTTTGTCCAATCAAATGCTCTCTAGAATGAGAATGTCCCTCCCACTAAATGTACAGTAACATTAGCAAAATTTTGCTGGCCAAATATGGTCCATTGTCTGATGTCAATAGTGTAGTCAATTTGAAACCATGCAGCTTTTTGATGGTCAGCATGGCAAATCTGCGCAAACAGTTGGACCAACGTTGCGCCGTCTGGGGGGAAAATAATTCGCCCTGAAACAGAAGTCCTGATCGTATGGATTCCTATTGAAATAACCATCTTTGGTCTGCTAAAAACTGTTGAACAATGGTAAATGTGAGCGCACCTTAATATGACCTACTTCTGATTAGCAATAGTAAGTTGCAAATCAAAATTCCTGATTGCATGGATTTTGTCCTCACACAAAATTCCTGATCGTGTGTATACCTTGAAATAACATGGTTTCATTTGTAGAAATTTGCTGAACAATGGTAAATGTGACCACACCTTAATACAATCCACTTCTAATTAGCAATACCAAGTTGCAAATCGAAATTCCCAATGACATTAATTCCTATTGAAATGACTGAATTTCGCCTGCAAAAATTGCAGTACATGTGACTGCCCTTTAATAAGTCCTACTTTCTGATTAGCAATACCAAGCTGCCAATCGAAATTCCAGATCGTGGGGATTTCACCTTCACATGAAATTCCTGATCACATGGATTTAAATTGAAACTAATAGATTTCGTCCACAAAAATGCACAGAACAACATTAAATGTGACTGCAGCTTAATACAGTTCTTCTGATTAGCAGTAGCAAGTTGCAAACTGAAATTCTGGATTTTTGTCATTATGCATAAAATAAATAAATAGTTTAACACAATAGCAGCTATTTTGTCCCTCTTCTCTCTCTCCTCACTCTCTCAGCATTCACTCTTTCCCAATGCTTGTTGGAAAGCAGACTTGTTTTGACTTTCCCTCTCGGAGATGACTGAATTCCAGCACACCGCAAAGAAAAATGTGCGCCACATGCTGAAGAGGTCTGGTCCTCATAAGCCTCAAACACAATCAGCATCATTAGACACTAGAGGAGGGGGGCACTGGAAGTGAAAGAGTGAAAGTCTGTTATATTGTTTGTTCCATGGTGTTTGCTTTCCATTATCATAAAACTATATGGACCCTACTGTGTAACCTCCCCAGCGTGTTCTCAATGTCGAAATGCTTCAAAGCATTCCTGAAAGCTCAACTCACACTTAGCGTCTGTCCACCGCATTTCCTTACATTTGTTTTTTGGGGGCAGACAAGGCAGTTCGTAAATCATGTGTGACTGCCAGTGGACCTTGAGGAGACATAACAGGGTTATGCTGGGATTTCCAGTGGAGGTAGGGGTATCTGATTCGGCCTTGAGTGATTTGGTTGGCTTCACAGGGAAGGGGAGCAACAGGATATTAAAGAACTTGCAGGAATGGGAACCAGAAGCTGGGATAACAGGGCCTGAATCGTAGAAACGGTTTCTGATGTGTTTTGTTTAATTTGGCTTGAATGGAGTAGATGGACTGGAGAGAATGGACAATTATTGGAAAATATGTCAATGGATGACTCATTGACTCAGAATGACTCAACTTGCAGTTGAGTTCATGAGAGTTTGACGTTAGCATGTTGCTAAGCTAACAGTGTGATATTTAAACATGCATAAAAATACAAATATGAGGTGACAGAACTTTTCAGTATTGAATGAGTATATACATTTCCTTATAAGCAACTTTTCTCCGGCTTTGTCCACCAACTTTCTCTTGCAGAGAACTGTGAGGGGGTCAACTGCGGCCCTGGAAAGGTGTGCAGGATGAAGTCTGGACGTCCCCAGTGTGTGTGCTCTCCAGACTGTTCCAACATCTCCACTAAACACGCTGTGTGTGGGAGCGATGGAAGCTCATACAAAGACGAGTGCGCGCTCCTGATGGCTCGCTGCAGAGGTCACCCTGACCTGGAGATTATGTATCAGGGGGAATGCAAAAGTACGCTGCTGATTTTCAGGTTCTACATGCTGAGTCCATTATTTTGCTAAGATGTTTTGCAGACTGACTGAAAAACTTCAGATTCAGATTATTACTCGGATTTAATTAGGTGCAAGCTTACCATATGTATTCTGAAAATCATCCAATAATATTTACCCATATATATATATTGTTCACCCAAAAATGTTTCTTCTGTTGAGCACAAAAGAAGATATTTTGAAGAATGTTGGTAAGAAAACTGTTGACGGTAGCCATTGACTTCCATGGTATTTTTTTCCCCATACTATCATCAACTGTGCACTAACTTTCGGCGAATTATCCCTTTAAAGAAAATATATTTTTATGACGATGTTTATTAGCACAAATTACATATAAATATACATAAAAAAAATAAAAAAGTCCTATGTACTGTAAATGGGTCGAAAAAGCACTTTAAAGGTCAACTAATTGCATTTGATACTGTATAAATTTAAACTATTATACATTTGCATTGACATAATAATTTAACATGTAATTAAGTGTTTGCAAACATTGCATTCAGTTTGCACTTTATATTCTTTAAATCAAATTGTCTGAACCTCACCCATGTAAGAGATTCACAGAATTCAAACTGTCTAAACTGTCCTAACTACTTTTACATCAGTGAAAAATTTACCATCTGAAGTTTATTTATGATACCTGAAGTTTTTTTTCCCCATGTGGCGACATTCTCTTATTAAGCTACCCAGATGAAAATATGAGGAATAAAATGGTTTTTAGACAGCTACTATTGTATAATGACATGCATTATTATATTTTTTTTGAGGGGGGGGGGTAACTAGTGTAGAAAATAGTGTGGACTCTGGTGATTACGTGCATGTTTTACCATGATCTTTTTCAATATATGATTTTTTTCATAATTTTCTTGACCCTTGACACTCTTCTTTCAGAGTCCTGCTCCAATGTTGTATGTCCTGGGACGCATACCTGCGTGACGGACCAGACCAACAGCGCCCACTGCGTCATGTGCCGCACTGCGCCCTGCCCAATGCCCATGGTCACTGAGCAAATCATCTGTGGCAACGATAACATTACCTACACCAGTGCCTGCCATCTGCGTAGGGCTACCTGCTTTTTGGGTCGATCCATAGGGGTCCGCCATTATGGACACTGCAGAAGTAAGTTTTTACACACCTGGAATTGTTTGTTTCTGATATATCCACACTGGGCTTGTTGAATTCATTTTAACTTTGTGTCTTACAGGTAATGAAGGAAGTGAGGAAAATTCACTCTTCTGAGGAAGAGACAAGAGCAGATCCGCTCCCTGTACATATTATGATGGCACGTAAGACGTGAGAGAACCTGTTTGAAACCATATAGTCTCACAACATGGCCCTCTGTACCAAAGAACCACTACTAGTATTTTATATAGGGCTGGGTATCGAGTTTGATACTTTTTAGGCACCGACCAAATTGCCTCGATACCATCGAGTATCAAAAAATGTCTTGTTGTTCGGCACCAAATTTCGATACCTAAGGGGTTAATCTCATCAATGTCAGTGAGCCAATAAGCATGCAGCATGCTTGATGTGCCTAAATTAGTGATTGGCTCTGGCGAGGCATCAAGGAAAACACATGTTACATGACCATTCACGCACACTGTAGCATCATGCTACATAAAATGTATACTATGCTTTTACTCAAAACTCGCTTTAAACCACCATCGAGTGTTTGTAATAACCTCCGATTGCGATCTAATGAGGGTTTTGGTCATATAATGTTGCAGAAATATGTTATTTATAGCCATTTATATCGGGCTAATCGCTACATCTGCTTAGCATTTCTCATGTAAACACCCGTTATTGTATGAAAAGTGGCAGAATCTCATTAAAATAACATACAAATCATATACTGTCATAATCACATGTTTATTAGCTTCATGTTTCATCCCTGTAAATGTTTTTTTTGGAAGTGTAACACACATTCGTCATAGGAGACAGGGCGGGTTATAAACGCATAATATGACTGACATGTGAGCAGTGAATGAGCTTCCTCTGAGTCAGAACAGCGATCGCGGCAGAGAAAACACAGGCAGACAGCGCTAGAAACAGCTAACGCTCATCAGTAAATCAGTGGAAAATGAATAGAAATGATGATTCTGTCTAAGCTATGCGTTTTAAAAAGAAAACGCACTAGTGTGAACGTACCCTAGGGACATTAGTCCCGGGGACATCATCAGTGAAGAGAGGGCTTGTCTGTCTCCTGAAAAAGCAGACATGCTAATTATTATTATTTTTTTATAAGAACTGCTGAATGATTTAAAGATCGTAAGTATGCAGCAGTGAGCCTCACATACTGACTTAAAACTGTTCATTTTGCACTGAAAACTATTTCAACTTTATTAAAACTATTTGCACTGATTTATTGTGTTGGTTACATTTTGTTCCTTTGTGCAGTGGCTCAGAAGATGAGTCTTTAAGTCTGTAAAAACCTCAAATGAGGTAATGTGTAATGTAATCTTGTTAAAATGGATTTCATAAAATTGGTATCGAAAAAAGTATCGTTCAGGAACCGGTATCGGAGTCAAGGTATTGATATCGGTATCGATTTTTTTTTTTACGATACCCAGCCCTAATTTTATAAGCATGCAATTCATATTTAAAGGAAATGTGTGGTTTTAACAGGAGAACTGAACTGATGAATTGACAGTGTGCATATTGTAAATATACTACAAGCTACTATTTATTGGAGAAAAGTAAGGAAGTCAGTATTATTTATGTGTTAAAGGGTTAGTTCACACAAAAATGAAAATTCTGTCATTAATTACTCACCCTCATGTCGTTTCAAACCCGTAAGACCTTCATTCATCTTCGGTACCCAAATTAAGATATTTTTGATGTAATCTGAGAGCTGTCTGACCCTGCATAGACAGCAGCGCAGCTGAAATGTTCCCAAGTCCAGAAACGTAGCAAGGAGATCTGTAAAATAATCAATGTGACATCAGGGGTTCAACCATAATTTTACGAAGCTACGAGAACAATTTTTGTGTGCAAAAGAAAAAAAAAAAAAATTTATTCAACAATTCGTCTCCTCCGCGTCACCCTGTAGCGCCATTTTGGAAAGTATCAGCTGGACGTAAACAGCGTATGCTTTTCTGTGTCAGCTGCGTCACACGGATACGCTGTTTTCGTTCAGATCAAATCACAACAACGTAGGAAACAGATCCGGCGTGACACAGAACAGCATATGTGGTTTATGTCCAGCTGATACTGGACTTGGGAACATTTCAGTTGCGTTGCTGTTTATGCAGGCTCAGACAGCTCTCAGATTGCATCAAAAATATCTTAATTTGTGTTCTGAAGATGAACAAAGGTCTTACGGGTTTGGAACGACATGAGGGTGAGTAATTAATGACAGAATTTTCATTTTTGGGTGAACTAACCCTTTAACACCCTATATTCGTACATCAGCTGCCTTTATCAAGGTATTTATTGTGGTTTTTGCTTCAGTTTTCATGTACATGTCAGAAATTAATAATGTAAACATGCATGTTCCTGTACCTTTGAATCTCCTGATGATTACTGGATGATTTTTTTTTTTCACAAAAAGCTATTTCTTGTCAATTAAATAATTTAGAAAATTACTTTTCCGTAACATTTGATGTTTTCTATATTATTTTATGTTTTAAATATTTTATGTTTTTATTATTATATTAACTGTTAATTCCCATGGTTTTCCAGACCTGGAAATTATCGTTTTAAAACATTTTCCTAGTTTTCTAAGAACCTTGACATGAGCTCTCTGTATGCCAGACAAAGGATATCAGCATTGCCAGCCATTAGCTTTGTGACAACTCTACTATGAGCAAAGCACATAGTATAGTAACCAGCACAAACGATGACCAAAAACCACTGAAATATCTGCCTGAACATTCCTAAGTACAGTTTTCCCAAAAACGTGCCTCTCTGCAAAATCCATGTGGACTCACAGTTGAAATTCTTATGGACATGGGAGACTACTTACACGTAAACAGCGTATGCTTTTCTGTGTCAGCTGCGTCACACGGATACGCTGTTTTCGTTCAGATCAAATCACAACAACGTAGGAAACAGATCCGGCGTGACACAGAACAGCATATGTGGTTTATGTCCAGCTGATACTGGACTTGGGAACATTTCAGTTGCGTTGCTGTTTATGCAGGCTCAGACAGCTCTCAGATTGCATCAAAAATATCTTAATTTGTGTTCTGAAGATGAACAAAGGTCTTACGGGTTTGGAACGACATGAGGGTGAGTAATTAATGACAGAATTTTCATTTTTGGGTGAACTAACCCTTTAACACCCTATATTCGTACATCAGCTGCCTTTATCAAGGTATTTATTGTGGTTTTTGCTTCAGTTTTCATGTACATGTCAGAAATTAATAATGTAAACATGCATGTTCCTGTACCTTTGAATCTCCTGATGATTACTGGATGATTTTTTTTTTTCACAAAAAGCTATTTCTTGTCAATTAAATAATTTAGAAAATTACTTTTCCGTAACATTTGATGTTTTCTATATTATTTTATGTTTTAAATATTTTATGTTTTTATTATTATATTAACTGTTAATTCCCATGGTTTTCCAGACCTGGAAATTATCGTTTTAAAACATTTTCCTAGTTTTCTAAGAACCTTGACATGAGCTCTCTGTATGCCAGACAAAGGATATCAGCATTGCCAGCCATTAGCTTTGTGACAACTCTACTATGAGCAAAGCACATAGTATAGTAACCAGCACAAACGATGACCAAAAACCACTGAAATATCTGCCTGAACATTCCTAAGTACAGTTTTCCCAAAAACGTGCCTCTCTGCAAAATCCATGTGGACTCACAGTTGAAATTCTTATGGACATGGGAGACTACTTACTCATTGAGATAAAGTGTTGTGCATGTACTGTGTGTATTCAGAGGGATTACTCAGCCAAAACAGCTACGCTTCCAGGCCATGTTCACGCTGACGTGAAGACCAAACCGAGCCACCCACCAAGCAATGAAATTACCAGCTACAGTCTCATGGCAGCAGTTTTTTACGAGGACGCTGGGACAGTCAAAGAATGTACAGTACATTCTGCTGTTTTAATGGTTTTCACATTGTCGGGTTATGTTTTTGTCGTTTTGTGTCTGTTTGAGTTTTACGGTCACTTGACCCTGTTGTATGCTTAAATGGTCATAAGGATACATTCAGTGTCTAAGTGTTTTATCTGATTATCAGTAAATTGGATGGTGTTATGCGAAAATGAAGCAGACAGTTTGGTAGATGCAGATATTTGTGTAAATCATTGTACAAGTTTGTTCCATGCTTTCCTGTCAGAAGATATTTTAACCTTCCTGTAAATAGAGACCTTTTGCAGTATCTGAATATGTACTGTAAAATTCAGTTTATTCAATTGCATATTTTTGTATTGTTTACTTACATTTTTTTTATTAAAACACAAAATTAATGTTGTATTAAATTGATTCTCATGGTTCTTGCTGACTGATAAGATTTTGGAACCCAATTCATGTAATTTAATTTGACAAATTGATAAAACAATTAAACACACACAAACTAATTTTTTTAACCATACAGATAATTATAATAATTATAACAATAAAAATATATATTTTATTAATAAATATTAATAAAATAATAAGGTATAATAATAATCTAAAATATTAACAAATATTAATAAAATATGGCATATTTCATAGAAAATATTATTTTGCAATTTAGAAATAATTATAAAATTTCAAAAAAATACTTATTTCTAATATTTAATAATGAAGTGATAATGGCATTTTCTGTATCTATGAATTTCTGGAATAAAATGTTGTAAATATTTTATATTAGTTTGTATGTTTGTATTTAAATCATAATATGTTAATTATTTTATAT